GGGCATTTAAGCCCCCAGGCCACCCTTAGCCTGGCGTCTTGCCTCAAGATAGCAACCGATTCGGGCCAATTAAACCACCAGTACTTGGCCGAGCTATCGGCCATGGAAAAAAATAGAGTAGAAATGTTTCTAGTCGGATGAATTTGGGCGCTCCTGTAGTGGCACGTACGTTTCCTAAAATCGTGGCTCGTTAACGGGCACAACTTTAGGAAGTACTGGAGGTTTAACAAGAGCTTCGGAGAACTTAGAATATAATCAGTACAGGCAGTCCTTGAGTGCCCCCAATGAGGTTTCAGTATTGACCGACAAAGCAAACAGATCATCGGCCATGACCGAAGCCTTAACACTGCTTCCCTTCGGAAATCTTAAGGCTGTGAATTTGGGGGTGTTTGTTTCCTAATCATAGACAACAAAACTTCCATCTGTAAGACAAATGACATCGGGGCTAAAGGACAACCCTGCCTAAGAGAACGTGAGAAAGGGAAAGACTCGGATATATCCCCATTTTGACCATGACTCTCCCTACCCCTTTAGTATATAGGGCTCGTACTCAAGGTTAAAAAAAACCTCTCTCCAAAACCTGCCCGTTCCAAGGTGTCCAGTACAATCTGCCAGTTGACTCTGTCGTAGGCTTTTTCTAGATCAAGCAAAAGGGCCACTACATCAGGTTTTGGTCAGATTGCAATGATTGCAATGATTGCAATGATTGCATTGTCTTGAGGGCCTCTATGATCAGCAGGATGTTGCTCAGAATGTTTCTGCCTTGAACAAACCCTGCTTGCTCTACTCCTATCAGGCCGGGCAGATATTTTTTCAATCTCAAGGCCAATGCCTTGGCCAAAAAATTGTAGGACGTATTCAGTAGCGATATAGGTCTCCAATTCCTTATATTTCTTTTGTCTCCTTTTTTGTATGGCAATGAGATGATGTCCATCCTCGTCTCATACCCCAAATCCTGACCCTGCAAAATCTTATTGAAAATAAGCACCAACGCCGGGCCAAGGATTTCCCAGAAACAATCATAGTATTCTACCGGCAAACCATCGCTGCGCGGATATTTTCCTTCCTTCATTGTCTTCAAGGTCTCTGTGAGTTTCTCAATTGTCATTGGGCGGTCCAGATCCAGTCTACCCTGTGTATGTAGGTGTGCATCGAAGGAACGCCGCCGTAGTTCCTCCTGTAAAGGGGACCCTCGTCTGGATCCGGGACCATGGGTCTGGACGAAGTAAGTCAATGCCTAAAATACAGGCGGGCGGGCATACTCTAGGGTACCTTTCGTTTCCCGGGCCTTCGGAACAAACACATAAAAAGGGTGGTTTTTAGTTCGATTATGAGTGGGGAGCCTTTGCGGACCGACAACTGCCTATAATTCTCCAATGGACATCCTATCCCCCACATCCATCCATTTGACTCTATCCCCGTTGGCCCATGTCTTTTCTTTTTCAATCTGATGTTCTCTAGCTTGTGCTTCCTACGACTCCTGTGTGCCAGCAAACAGGCATCTTTTCCCCCAGTATGTTTGTAATCATTTCGAAGTAGAGCAATCCTGAGTTTACTAGAGCCAGACTGCTGCAATGAAAAAGGGAAAAGAAAAAAAAAAGAGAAAGAAATAGAAAAAGAAAAACCTAGACTACCTAGTGCATTAGTCCAAGACTATCCGGACTACCTCCTGCTCTTTGTGGGTCTCCTCTCTCTCTCTTTGTCTTTTCTATGATTATTATTTTTCTCTGAAAAACATCCTCTCATGGTGGGATTTTTTTTTTCTTTCTTTGGGGAATTCATCTGCAGGGTTTTTTTTTGGCACTTCGGTGGCCCCACGCTGACTGGGCCAAGGACAGCCCTCAACCCCTGTTCGGAATATAATCTTTTCTCTTCCGCCCGTAGATGATGCAAAGATCGACATCCAGACAGACACGAGGAGCGGGGTCCCACTAGCGAAGAGGATTGGATTGAACGCCTGAATCTGGACGTGTTTGTGTAGAGTCGCAGATCAAAAAATCGCGACTGATCTGCTTTTCTGCATCTCTGAGCAGAACTCGTTCAGATTCAGGCACTTAATCCAATCCTCTTTTGCTATCGGAACCTGGGTATGTGCAACTAGATGAACGATAATCAAAAAACTTTTTTTTTTTTGGGAAACTAAAATGGTGGTTGGGTTTGGGAAACTAAAATGGTGGTTGGGTTCTTGGAACGACACAGAGAAGATTACCAGGGTCTCCGGAGAGGGGAGAAAAAAATGGTGATTGGATCTGCAAGGACAGCAACATGGCATTTCTATGTTAAGAAATGAGAATTGAGTTTCGAGGGGGGAAAAAAGGTGCAATAATTCAGCTCAAATATGCATCAACCGTGGGCTGTGGGGCTCCACTTGTGGTCAAAGTCAAACGCCTGAAACGGGGGTCAAAAGTCGCACCCGGAGTCTTGAAAGGGCCTGAAGAAAGGCCTACCTACAGCTGAGGGGTACCCAAGGCCAGGTTAAAACAGGCCTTCAGAGGCCCAACGCAAGGCAGTTGACCTTGGGAAAGTCAACGGTCAACCTCAGCTCGGGATTGAGGCCCACGGGTCAAAGTAGTGGTTGACCTTGGGAAAGTCAACGGTCAACCTCAGCTCGGGATTCAGGCTCACGGGTCAAAGTAGTGGTTTCGGTAGGAGAGGTAATTGCACGTGTTTATGGATTGAACAAGATTCAAGCTGGAGAAATGGTCGAATCGACATGTTCCCAGCCTCAGGCACAGACCAGATACACCTCTGGTTGTTTGCAGGTATCTGGACGAGATCAAGCCCAAGTGGGGTACAACGGTTGCTGCAACTGTACAGGATCTAGGCCATTGGCTGACGGGCAATCTGGGCCACCGTACGCGAGAGACGAGAGGCTGGTCAACGCACGTCAACGCTATAAGCTGACCCAGCACCTGATGGACGACATTCAATCTTGCACATGCTGCAACGCTGGCTTGACGCTGGTACGACGATGCAGGACAGCCAGAGCTATATGCTGGCGCCATTGTGTCTTCGGCGCCAGCTGTGCACTTGACTACGCTGACGTGGCTGCGGCCACGCTGATTCCGACGTTGATGGAGTAGGCGAGGAGGAGGAGTGATCAAGACTGTGAGATTGGTTCAATAGAGGAGGGAGGAACCTTACCTGTTGATCTTGCCGGCACTGTGCTTTGGGGTTCGTCTCCAGAGGAAGGCTCTGCACCATCCTCTGTGAACACGGCTGATGTGGCTGGAGGATGGGCGCCATGTCATCATGACCTGCTTATTGCGCGAGAGTGGAGCTGTTGCTGACGTGGCGAGTTGGGAGGCAACGCCTGAAGAGGAAGTGGTCAGCGAGTGTATCTGCTCAACGATGATGGTGGAAACTCTCTCTCTCTCTCTCACCCTCTAGGTCTCATCTCCCTCTCTTCTCTCTTTCTTCTCCGAGCACTGGTCAGTGGAATGCCATGTGGACAACGAGTATGGTTTCACGAACGATTTCGGAGACATTCATTCCACGCTAAGACATCTTGCATTTTGACATTGACGAGCTTCTCACTCATTTGACTGGGTTCATTGCAAAGGGCATTTCAATAACCATGGCGTTTCCTGACCGGCCAATCTCAGTCGTTATGCCCATGAACCGTTGAAATACGGAACTCTGTTGAAATACAGACCAGGTGCTGAGTTCTAACTCCAATGGAAGCAGATGAGTAAAACACCTAGGACCGGTTACTTCGATGATGACATCTCAAGGCCGTCACACTTAAAAAAAAAAGTAAAAAAAAAAATAATAATAATAAAATAATAATAATAAATCATTGCATGTCACTGATTACACGAACTGTTTTTTTTTTTTTTTCTGGTTTGTCGTCAACATGGTTGCAGCTGATCAGCAGAACAGCGAGGAGGTGCACATGAGGGGAGAGGACGAAGTTTAAGCTGCCCGCTGAAAGTTGTGTTGGAAGATAATCACAATTCTTACAACACAAGACATTTGACTTGTCAAGGACTTTTTGCAAGGAGAGAAGAGGAGGAGGAGGAGGAAGAGTGAGTGTGGAGGTAGAACGCAGAGGGGAGTCACCGAAGGGGAAGGCAAAGAAACACAGTGGAGAGAGAGAGAGAGAGAGAGAGAGAGAGAGATGGAGGTGGAAGTAAAGCTGAGGTTGCCATCAGCCGATGCTCATGGGAGAATTGCAACACTGCTTGCAGATTTGCGCAAGGAGACAAATATGCAAGAAAACGTTTTTTTCGATGGCACGAAGGGAGAATTGTAAGGAGGTGATTCGTCAAGGAACCCAAATTATTGGCAAATGCTTAAAAAATACGAAAAGGAGGGGGGGGGGGAAAAGGAGGGAAAAGAAAAACAATGCTTCGGATTGGAGTGTGTCATTTTCCCCACCCCTTAAAATTCAGGATTGAAGTGTGTCGTCATATCCAGTCCAGCATCCTTTTATTTATATTTATTTTATTGTATTTTGTTGGGAAGCATCAAGAAAGAGATGACTGTTGAGCACAGGCGAGGTCCCACTAGCAAAGAGGATTGCATTGAGCGCCTGAATCTGGACGTGTTTGTGGAGACTTGCAGAAAATCGTGATTGAATTGCTTTTCTGCAACTGTGCATAAAACACGTCCAGATTCAGAGGCTTAATTCAATCCTCTTTGCTAGTGGGACCTGGTCCCAGATGATATCCGTTCAGCTGCTTCAACATCATTTTGAAGTGTTTTTTTTTTTTTTTTTTTTTTCCCCCCCAGGGG